TTTCGAACATCCCTATTTCTGTAGGATCGTCTCAAGTAGGTCCTCGTATTGTAAATGTTCTCGATTAGGTCCCTTATTATGAAAAATTGAATCAATTTAGGCCTTACCGTTAGTTCCATACTAACACCGTTAAAGGGGGTGACACGTGTCAATTCGTAGTTTTTTGGATTTTTTAATTATATTTTTATTATTTTTATTTTTATTTTTATTTTATTTTTTATTGTTTTAAAAGTAAAATTTAAAAATGCCACGTGTCAAACTGATAGTGTGCCACGTGGCAATGACAGTGTGACATGGCACTGACAGTGCCACATGTCATTGTCAGGCCACGTGTCATTGCATTAGTCTCAATTTGGTCCCTGTATTTTTTATTATGTTGTAATTTGATCCCTGTATTTTTATTTTGTCTCAATTTAGTCTTAATTTTAAAAATTAAACAATTTTTTCCCTCCTCAAATTCAAACAAAATTTAAATTGTATATAAATCTTAACAAATATTTTATTAAAATTAATATTTTTAATAAATATTTTTAACAAGATTAAGTTTAATTATATTTATATTTACTTAATCATAGAAATGTTAATTATGTTATTTAAATATATCTATAAGGGTTTAAAAAAAGAGTGACATAACATGCTGGTGTTATGTTATGTTATTTAAATATATACAATTTAAACTTTGTTTGAATTTGAGGAGGGAAAAATTGTTTAATTTTTAAAATTAAGACTAAATTGAGACAAAATAAAAATACAGGGATCAAATTAAAACATAATAAAAATACAGCGACCAAATTGAGACTAATGCATTGACACGTGGCCTGACAATGACATGTGGCACTGTCAGTGCCATGTCACAATACCATTGCCACGTGGCACACTATCAGTTTGACACGTGGCATTTTTAAATTTTAGTTTTAAAAAAATAAAAAATAAAATAAAAAATAAAATAAAAAATAAAATAAAAAATAAAATAAAAAATAAAATAAAAAATAAAATATAAAATAAAATAAAAAATAAAATAAAAAATAAAATAAAAAATAAAAGTAAAAATAATAAAAATATAATTAAAAAATTCAAAAAAATCATGAATTGACACGTGTCATCCCTTTAACGGTGTTAGTATGAAACTAACGGTAAGGCCTAAATTGATTCAATTTTTCATAATAAGGGACCTAATCGAGAACATTTACAATACGAGGACCTACTTGAGACGATCCTACAGAAATAGATATGTTCGAAAAGATTAAACCTTAAAATAATGTGGGTAGGTGAAGGAAGTATAGGATGGTGGTAGAGGGAGCAACACCTCATATGAATATATGAAAGCCCATTTAAAAACTGCCTTGAATGAGTGGACCTTATGCAATTACTTCCTAGACCCCTCAAATTTCAACTACACCCCCATAAAATATGTGAAATTATGAAATTAACTTTACGGGTTTTTTAATCTAAACCTAATGTGTTTTATTCTTTTCTTCTCCTTCACTGGACAGTGCAGCGGCGCGTCAGTTTCCCCATTCACCGACCTTCACATTGTTCTACACCCTCAAATCAACATCCATGAAATTTTCTCCCAACCAAACACAAATTCAAGGAAAATAGTAAGAGATACCAAAAAGAAGTTGCAGATGCAGAGAGATCGGAGTTGGAGATGCAAATGGCCTCTTCAGAAAGCATATCTATGCTTCCGGATCTCTCCTTCCGGAATCGATACCACATCTACTCTGAAACTTTATTCCGAAACACATTTTCAACAATATCTGAATTCAGTTTCCGGGAGAGTTATGGATGTTCCACCTCAAAATGATTTTTTCCAAACGATACTTTTACTCTACCAGAAACACAAATGCAGAAAATCATTTCTCCCCTCCCAAACCTATTCCGGATCACATTTTCTGGAATTGCATTTCTCACCACCACCTTCATCCCACAAAGCTTTCCAGAAAACCCCATAGAAAAACACTCTAAACCAGTTCATCACTGTCTCAGATCTTCCACAAGGATAAAGTAAAATTCCAAAAATTATGGGGTGCATGTAGAAATTGATGGGGTGCATGAAGCAATTGGCCCAAAGTTATTGTTGTTTGAAAGCAGAAAGAGAAATGGAAAAGGTAGGGCAGTTGCTCCCTCCACCACCACCGAATGCTTCCTGCACCACCCCATACCAATTTTGCCCTTCTCTAAAACGGATATCAACATCCGTTTTACCTTCAACGGATGTTGACATCCGTCCATTCACAAATCCTATATTTTATTTATTGTTTTTATTTAAAAAAAAAAATCTTCAACGGATGTGGCGACATCCGTTAACGGATTGCCACATCCGTTTTAATAAAACTTTTAAAACTACTTTGATTATTATTTAAATAATAGTATATAACTTAAATTAATAATAATTATTTTATTAAATAAAATAAAATTAATTCATAAATAATTAATTAATAATTTTAAATTAATTAAATAATATTTATATATTAATTTAAAATATAATAAATTAAAATCTGAAAATTTAAAAAGAAAAAACTTTCCGATTTAATAAATTTTTAAAATCTTCAACGGATGTGGCGACATCCGTTAACGGATTGCCACATCCGTTTTAATAAAACTTTTAAAACTATGATTATTATTTAATCCGTTTTAATAAAACTTTTAAAACTATGATTATTATTTAAATAATAATACATAAATTAAATTAATAATAATTATTTTATTAAATAAAATAAAATTAATTTATAATTAATTAAATAATAATTTTAAAAAAATTAAATAATATTTATATATTAATTTAAAATATAATAAAATAAAAAGCTAAAAACTTTAAAAAGAAAAAAACTTCAATGCGTTTTAATAAATTTTTAAAAAGTATTTTAATTATTATTTAAAATAATAATACCTAAATTAAATTAATAATAATTATATTATTATAAAAAATAAAATTAATTTATAAATAATTAAGTAATAATTTTTAAAAAAAGTAAATAATTAAAAAACTTAAAGAAACTAAAAACTTAAAAAAACTAAAAACTTAAAAAAGAAAACTAAACGTAACGGATGTGGCACATCCGTTGAAGAATTTTTTCTTCAACGGATGTCGACATCCGTTCAAGAGAAAAGGAGGAGGTGTAGGATATTTTAGAATACGAAGGATAATTTTGGAAGTGCAGGAAGCAATGTGTGATGGTGTGTAGGGAGTAACTCTCAAAAAGTTAGAGACGTTGATTTCATGGCGACGTGGGACCTACCTAAATCAAATCAAAACGGCATTTTTATATTATTTATTTGGTTTTGAAGGAAGAACAAAAACTAGGAAGTCAAATCAAAATCAAAAGCACAGGCGAAGTGAAACCCCTGAACGCAAACGACAATATTTCTCTTGGCAGTGTGGGGACACTGTTGTTGTGTTCGGTGTGCAAACAGACGAAACACTGTTTCTCCAAACCCAAGCAGCCCAGCTTCTTTCTTTCTTCATACCTTGAAGACGCAAAATAAATAGAAAGGAAGAGCATTTGAGACAGAGGAGAAGAAGAAGAAGACAACGATGGGTTTAGGTTGGATAGTGAATCAACAATGCAGAAGGTGGACGACAAGTCGTGTATGTGGAGCAACGTTTCTGTGCTGCATGTGCTTTATCCTCTTTACTCCCACAATCCCTCGCTCTCCCAAGCACCACCAATTCGGTGACATGCGCAATCTTCTCGGTAACCACCCGCATTGTGCACGAGATCATAATTTTGGGGTGAATTTTTTTAGGTTGCTTCATTCATGTTCTCATGATTTTGGGTTCTCCAGGAGTACCCAACACGTTGAATGTGATGACGAATTTCCCGTTCTTAGTTGTGGGGATTCTGGGCCTTGTGCTTGCCCTCGAAGGAGGTGTCTTCAACATAAGGTTTTGGTTCCTGCGTAGTGAAATTGGTTAGTTCCTTTTCAACCATCTATTGACATCGTTGTGTTGTTGCAGTTCCCAAGGAGAGGTTTGGACATGGGCTCTGTTCTATGCTGGAATAGCTGGGGTGGCTTTTGGCTCTGCTTATTACCATTTGAAACCCGATGACCATCGTGTGTTGTGGGACACTTTACCGGTTAGTTATTATTCTGTGTTCGATCTGTGATCTTGCCATTTGCTCTTTTGTCTTCAAACTGGTTGATTGATTCAGTGCCATGAGAGATTTCTGGTTGAATTAAGTCCTCTCAACACTAAAAATATTTTCCTTGCTAGTTGTAATCGAGTGGGGCCACTTCTTATTGTCTTTTTTTTTTTCTTTATTGCGAAGCTCACTCGTTTTGTGGATGGCAGATGATGGTGGCTTTCTCCTCACTTTTCTCCAGCTTGGTTGTTGAGAGATTTGGCCAGAGGATTGGGCTATGTTGTCTGTTTGCACTCATTGTTGCTGCATTTCTATGTGTAGTTTATGAACGGTTAGTAAACTTCCCCTTTTCTAATTCTTACCTATTTGTCTTGGAAGCTTATACGCCAAGCGAAGGTGCTGAAGTAGTCAAGTTCTATGCTGAATTCTGTCTGCTAGTTGGTTGCAGAATTTATAATGATATTCGGTTCTGCGTGATATTCCAGTTGACTCTGCCTCTAGCTATTCCAGTAATAGCACTCATGTACCGCTCCAAATATACTCACTCAAGATATTGGTTTATGTCTACAGGTTAGCCGTGGACTTTGTAATTCTTTTGTTTTTGCTGCGCAAAGTTTCTATGTGACTGTGTTCCTGCTTTTGGACGTGGAAAACTACTTCTATGTATAAATTTTAGATGTTAAGTAAATATGACTTCATCGAGCTAGTGTATCATCTAGGGAGAAAGTGCCTAGGATATATCGTAAAATCTAATATAGGAGCATTTCTTTACTAAGCAACTTGAAATAAAGCATTTTTTTAGTAAGTATTTATCTGTTTATAATGTTTCCTCTTTTGCAACCTGCTGTCATTTCTCTAACCAGGTTAGCAATAGCCTAACAGGAAAAGAAGACTATGATAAAAAAACTAAACCTTATGTCGTTTACTGAGTTTGGGAGGATTCTCATGCTATATTTAGAATGCTTGATATGAGAAAGGATGCTGTCATTTCACTTCATAGTTGCATTAACTATAGCTCTCATGTTTAGTAGTGGATAACTAATAGAATTTTTAACTTACATCTTTACTAATAAGGTCTTATTTGGATATAAGTATATCTTGGTGAAAAAAAAGGTGAAAAGAATTGACTATTTTCTATAAGCTCATATAAACTGGAGCTCTTAACTTTTAAAGAAATTTTCTTATCTAACTTAATCAAAAACTAAGAGGCATAAGTTTATTTTTGTGACTGGGAGTACCCAACAGATGATATATGTTGTGAAATGGGTGAGGAGTCTAGAAGTTGGCTTAGAATTGTGTGATTCAGAATATTGCTCTGACTTGATTGTGCTTTCATTAGTAGACCTTCTCAGAAATAATGATTATTTATGAAGTACACCTTCCATTGTTTTATGTTTACGGGATATAACTCTTCTAAGTTTTTATAAGCCGCCATCTTCATTCTATCCATTGTACTTTAAATCTCGAATTGGCTATGCCTTGTTTTGATTATTATATTTGACAAAGTTCACCATTATACTTTAGAAATACATCTTGATGTATGTAGTTCACGTCTTGCATGCCGGTCCTTGTGGTCTTGCACTGCCCTAAAATGTGCTATGTTCCTGATTATGCAAACTTGAAAGAAAATAAAGCAGCTGCTAACGTATGATTTGTGGATATCCAAGTTGTGCATATGCTCTGAATCCTGAACTTTCCTGCCACAGGGATTTATCTGCTTGCAAAATTTGAAGGTGTTACTGACAAGAAACTGTACTATGTAAATAACTACATTATCAGTGGGCATTCTATGGAACACTTGTGCTTAGCACTGATCCCTGTTTCACTCAGCGTGATGCTCATCTACAGGGAACTTAAGTTTCAAAGGTAATAATGAAAATGTCTTGTGGCTATACTTAGAACTAGGTATATCGAATCGTCTTGTTTTTCTTATACATCTATTGGCTTGATGACAGAATAGTTGATGTTAAAGATCGACCATGAGGGACACAGAACTGATGATTGTTCATTTGCTCCTGGATGGTCGACAGACGTTGCATTAGTAATGAATGAGTGAAAATGCCTTAGGATTATATAAACCATGGTCGGCAAAGTAGATGAAGTTTTCCTCCATAACTTGTAAGTGTTACTAGTTTAGCTGTACAGTGGGGCCAAATTCCTTTATCTTTATTTATAAGGGAATCTGTGTTGACATCAATCTGATCTTGCCTGGTGGGTCGTCATGTGAATGAAAGCTTTGTGCCTTTAAGATGACCTGAGGTGACGGACAAGAGGTTTCTAACTTGAATTTGTTTTTCTCTGTTGTTAGCCCTTCTAAAATCTGTGACAGCATTATTGATGCATCAACGTGAGGCATTGAGAATTTTGTAACTAGTCTGCGTAGTGTTTAATTTTTGTGATGTGAGAAAAACTAACATGCAGAAAGCACGATAGATTCTGCTGTGAACTTGTGACGGATTTAAGATTGCGGTCTTCTGTGTTGGCCTTGTGGATTTATTATGGATGAATCCAGGTGGCAAAAGATGATGGGAATTCGCATTAGCAAATTTTGTGGCACGTGTTGGTGCTTTAGATGCTTACCTGGCAAATATATGCTTCCTTCACATGCTGTTGCTTTGTCATTTTGAATAACTTTTGTGTCTGCTTATTTTATGGCTCCTAACATATTTATAATCATGTGCCTTGTAACCATATACAAATAATTATTATTGTATTACGTTCGGTGATCTTTCGTTTTCTTCTGCCCCCCACCCTCTTCTCCCTTATGGTAAAGGAAGATCAAATCTTCTTACAAGATTGGAAAATTGTAATATAATATTTAAAAGGTCAAAATTGTTCTTAGAAGGAGATTAAATGACCTTATAAGACGCACCGATACTAAATCAGGACATGAGAGTTGTTCTCATTATCCTGTAAGGTATGAAGATATTGATTCTGTGGCAAGATAACCTCGATAATCAGAACAGTATTGATATCCGTATAATAAATCTTTGAAAAAAATTTATTTCATTTTCAAATTTTCATTAGGCCCTCCAGATATTATTATAGAACCGTCTCAAAAATTCAGAATTAAACTACAATACCTTTATTTCTTATATAAATGTTCTTACTTATTTTGTAGAAAAATATTAAATAAACTTATATTTAATGTTTTTTTATCGTTATACAATTTTAGATTAATATAAAATAATTGACTTGGTTATGCTTTGAGTTCTTGCAAATATCTTCTGTTTTATTTTAATCACTTTAACATTATGTTGATTTGAAAATAAAAAGGACGAAATGCGAGAAAATATAGTTTTGAGGCACCTAACGTGTGAGAAGAAAATCTCATAAAACCAGTTCGACAAAAGGATTTTAAGTTTTTACGCTTGCTCTTTTTCAGTGAATTTTTCTGAATGAAATTTGTATCCGGAAAGAATTTAAATTGATAGTTCAAATTGTAATGCGACATATGTAACAAGTAATTATCTTTATCTATTAATTAATTAAATTATGTACTATTTTTTTGTTTGTTTCTCTTCGCTATCTGTTTTGTTTCATTTAATCTACACAACATCACATTTACTCTCTTTTCTCTCATATTTATATTTTTTCACTCCCTCAAATTTAGTTTCTAATCCAATGGTTAAATTTAAATCCTTAATATGTATTAGTGTTTTTTTTAATTCTTATTCCTATCTATAACTATAATTAATCTAGCACGCAATGATATAAATTAGAATTTTTAAGTACACATATTAAGTAAAATATTTAACATTTTTTTATAAATAACATAATTATGTTTTTTATTTTGATAATGTTATGAACAATAACTTGTATATCACAATACAAGAAACACCGGATTTATCAATTTACAAAATATGTTGATAAACACAAAAAAAATTGTTGGTAAAACAAAATTACCAATGATAAAAAAAAATTTACTACTAAAATATTTTGTTAATTAATTTTATCGATAGATTGGAAAAATTATTGATGATTTTTTTTCGTTGATAAATATTGTGATTTGATATTCTTTCTTTCTCGAACTTTTGTTTTTCTTTTTTCTCTTCCTATAGGGTTGTCTATTTACATCTTGTTATTATTATGTCCATCAACCTTAGTTTTTCCTTCTCTTCCTCCTCCATCATTGTTGTTGTCAATGATGTTACCATTATGATTGTCTCTTCTTCCTCCTCCTCATTATTTTATTATTCACGCTCATCTCCATTTTATTTATAACACATCCTTATTATATTTAAAAAGATAATTAATGTTCATTTTATTGACATGTTTATTGAAAGAATTACTACAATTTAAAAAAAATCAATTAACAAATAATTTTTACAAATTTAATCATAACATGGTCAAACTTAAAGCGGAACCTTGGACTTTTTTTTTACCAATTTCACAAGTTTTATGGACAAATTTATTACCAAAAGAAATATTTGTCAATAACTAAAATCCTAAAATGTGTTGGTAAAATTTGTAGATATATTATATTCTATCGACACATTTTTTTCATTGATAAAATTTATTGATAAATCATATTTCATCGAATTTTTTTTTATTTGTAAAATTTAATTGATAATATGATTTCTTTTGTAGTGTTATTTCTAAAACAATGATTGACTTTTATTTTTAAAATACTACTTGTACCATATGATATATTGATAAGTATATATCCAGGAGGATTGACCACCGGTACGACATGACCGTTCTCGGTAATGACAGGCGTTAGGCGATATTTAAAGTTGATTAATATGGTAACGGTCATTAATGGATGGTTAACCCACATCTTAACGGCTGATAATGGTTAATTAATAGGTTTGATCATTCTCAACTCTATGAATAAATGTTTGATGATGTTGAGGAAAGACATTTTTTTTTACATAATTCAGTACATTTTGAACCCTCTTAAGACACATTTAACTTGAGCATCAGAGTATTTTCTGCAGGTCAAAGCGAACAGGAGATTCAAAGCGAATCAGATCAAACGATCGTCATCGACCCTACATATCTGAAACACTACTTAAATTATAGTGCTTCATGTATTATTTTCTTTGCAATTATATATTATGATTAATAAGAAAATATATTAATATTATTATGAATACAACTATTTTAAATAAGATTCAATGGTATAAATTAAAAAATTATTATTTTCATATTCCTTTCATAATTTTTAATTCTAAAAATATAAACAAATGTTACGATTTTAGTATTTAGAGATTAAATTAACATTTATGATATATTAGAAAATAAATAATTTTTAAAAATTAAATAAGAATATCAAAATTGACATGTAATAAATGTTACAAATGTGTAGATGAATTACAATTATTTTCATAAAATATAACGTTAAAAGGTAAAGTATTAAATAAAAACTCTATATAATTATGTTTTCTCTATATCAAATAATAAATATTCAGTTGAATCACCTATGTTAACGAAAGTTAGTAATCTTAATTTAAAATATATTTTTGTTATTTTAATCAATATTTTTATTTTATTGGTTATATTAATTATACTTAATAACTAATAATTAAAAAAAATGTCATGATCTAAAATTAATAACTAATTTTGAAGAAATTAAAAATATATTTTAATCGATAAAAAAAATCAAAGTTGAGATAGGTGGGACTAGTGATTGGAAAATTTATTTAGAAGTTTAAATAGTTCTATTTCATTTAATGCAACTCTTCCGACTTCCAAATTTTATAACATTTTGGGTCTCCAAAAAAGTACATCTTAACGATTCAAATTAATAAATATATTTTGAATTAATTAAGATTAAGTTGAGCCTTTTTCCTCATAAAACCAGATCTTAATTAACTTTTTAAAGATATTAGTCAGTATTTTCCTTTAACTTCAATTTATTTATTTGTTTTTATAAAAAAGTTGTTATACAAACAAAAACTCCTGAAATTTGACATGCCATGTGAACTTTTAGATTTCTGGAAATAGCTTTTCTGTCACACTAAACATATCATTCTATCCGTGAGAAGTCCAGTGAAAAATAATATGAAAAAAGTACATATGCTGAATTATATTATATAAATAATGTGAGATAATATTAAAAAAAGGAGTGAAAGTTATCATCGTTAATTTAGTTAATATTTGGAACGAGAAATTTGATATTGGAGTGTTTTTATTTAATAAAATTTAAGCATAGAAAGTTTATAAACAACTTTGACGTGACCGACGACGAAGAGAATAAATTTCTTAATGTAGAAACCTTATATATGGTTTTTTAGAATTTTTTAGAAGAAATTTATGGGACATTTTTTTACTTTAAAATATCATACATTATCTTAACGTGATGAAATATTATTACATTATCTTTACTTTAAAATATTAACATTATATGTATAAATATTTTTTTAATTTTTTTTATTTTTGTTTAATATAACTTTGGTTAAGAAGTGGACTTTAGACGTAATTCAATTCCACAAAATCAGTTTGTAAGGTGATGGTTGTATTCATTTATATATTACAAAATTGACTTGAATTTTAACCCTAATTCAACTTATAAAATTAATTTTAAAATGAAGTTTGCATTCATTTATATATTATAAATTGACCTTATTTTTAGTTAATTGATGTGAAAATTTTAACAATTTTTAATTTTGAATTATATTTATGAAAAAAAAAGGTCTTAAAGATTGAAAGAAATAAAAATGGAAGTGTCGGCGGTCTACCTGACGGTAGAAGCAAAGTGCCATTCGTCTCGTTCTTTTCCTACAAAACCATTCTTACTTTTAATTTTTTACTAAAAGGTTTGTTTTATTCTTTAAATATTACCAAACGTTGAAAAAAGAAAACATGTATCCCAAGTAGGATTAAAGCTAGAAATGGACCACATAGTAGGTTGAGAAGCAAGGTAATTATTGACTTTGGACTCAAGCGAGTGCAACAACCAAATTAATCACAAAACTAATACTTATTATAGTTACACTGTCAACTGTCAATCAACACACAAACAAATTCAATGAGTAGATCTCAGTGTAATCTTTTCATCTCTCACAATGGGTTAAAAGGAATCAACAGTAATAATAATAATAATAATAATAACTCAAAATGATTTATAAATTATTGCATTGCAATGTCTTTCATTACTACACTCCACTTTAACATTTTGACCAAGGGAATGATTAAAGAATTGCATGACACTGGTGATGAATATTTACAGCATCATAAAAAGGGAAGTTCCTCATTCAGATATCATAATACATTTTTGCATTAAATACAGTTAGGAAAAAATTAATATTTATTATGTTAAATTTTGAAATAATTTAATATTTACCTTTTCAATTAATTAGAAATATTTAAAGCGTATTTAATGTGTGGCTTGATACACAAGAAAAATAAATAAATCATGGAAGGAAAAAAAACGTATGGCCATAAAATCGTGATATCTGTGTTATTCTCTGTATCAAGTTGTCAATTCAATGCAAGTATTTATCTTTACACGGGCGTTTCAATTTTGTTTGTCTTTAGCATGTTATGTGAGACATTTGCCGAATTTAATTCAAGTAAACAACTTAAGACATTAAATTTTAACACAAACATATTTTCAGGAACAATTCTTCGATTTACGCCGTAGTAGTTTCGGTTTGTTTAATGTTATTAAATGAAAAAAAAAATAGTAAATGTGAATCCTGTTTTGTTTATAAAAAAAAGATGAAAAAGGAGTGGACCCAGTGTTACCCAGAGTTCACTCAACTGAATCACATGTTAGGAGGCCAACAGACTGAGATGAGAACACAGCAGAATAAAATTACTGTGCACAGCACACAAAACTTGACTTGGTTTTAAAGTTATATAAAATTAACAAGAGGTTAGAGAAGG